TATGAATAATTAAATACAAAATTATTTCCAAGACGACTGATGATGGGTATTTGACATTAATTAATTAAAATTAAAAAAAAATTAAAATTAAAATTAATTAAAATAATATAAAAATAATTTTTGTTATTGTAGTTCACCACTTTTCGAAAAACCTTATTATATTTTAGCTAAATTTTAGCTAAATGCATACGTGTTAAAAGTAAAAGGGCTTATTTTACTCTACACGGTTGCGTTTAGAACGACGGAGACTGTGATGACGCAGAGCATACCTTATTTTCTTTAATATATGTCTTTCAATAATTAACCAATAAATCTCGAGAAAATAATGAAAAAGATGAGAAAGTACCCAGAGAACGATAGAGTCATCTGTAATTCACGTCCTCAATGTGAAGAAATTACAGATAAGATGCGGATGTAGCCACAAAAAAAGCAAAAACACGTTGAAAAAGTGAAAGTCTGGACATAGATCATAAATCAAAAGAGTATGGCTTACAATGTCAATAGAAAAGAGACCCTCCCTGAAGTAATTGAAAAGCGGTTCTAGGAGAAATAAATCTGAATACTGCACATTAACATACCACACCGGCTATGAATCCGGCTATGAAAATGCATAAAACATTCCATCACAAAAAAATGGGGGTTTAGGTATTTGTTAATTGATATTAATTAAACTAAAATTAAATTAAAATTGATAACATTTTATTTTCTATTGAAACATAATAACGTAAAACTCTAAATTCAGCACTGACTGTGTAATTAAAATAAAGGGGCCTACTTATTTAGCCTACTTACTTATTAATTACTTACTTCTTAATTAATTATCGTTAATTAAACTAAAATTGAGCAGATTTTGATTTTCATGAAAAAATGATAAATTCTATGAAATGCTTACCTTATAATTGTGCTATTATCTACTGTAATACCTTAATAATGTTGCTGATTTTTTTCTGATTTTTTTCTTTTGTTATATATCAAAATCTTATATGGCATAAAATATTTTTCTGAATGTGCAATTATTTATACTCGTATGTATATACATTTTTCTGTAGTAAACCTTTCGTTGTAGATAAGAAATGAGAATTTCTTATTGAAAGTTTTTGAGCATTAATTTGTAACGACACGGATTCTCCCGTTTCGTTATAATTTATGCTGGGGTATCCTCAGTCTTTTCCAGGGGGTCGCTACAATAAATTTATATTCGCGGAGACAGGACTTCTCAAATAAAAGATTGTGTGTTAAATTTTAAATGTAGATTTATTTAAAATATTATTAATTCATGAAAATAGTATTTAAAAAAAAGGAATTTAGTTAAACGTAATTATGTAAACTTGAGATTACTAATGTGTACAATTCAATGACATAGTATTTTAAAAAAACAAAGTAAATTCATTAAACGTGATTAAACTTGAGAAACTTGAGATTATTTCCTGGTATTCTGCTGTATCTGGAGGTTGTTCCTTTGGAGCTCGGTGATCTCTAATCTGGTTCCGTGGTTTGTATCTTCATATGATTACTTGCTCAATGCGTACCTGTGTGGGACAGAAGGATTAGTGTATATATAAAAAAATATATTTCCTTGTACGGTTATAGAATATCTATACAATAGTGTCCAAGTGTCTTGACTTAAAACCGCCCATGCACTTGTACACAATTATATATATATTTTAGTAATTTATACAACTAGGCTTAAAACCGCCATTGTGTCAGACAATATTTTTTATATTTATTTATTTTATATTTTGACATACAATGCCACCGAGTGATCATACAAGACTCACTACCCTTACCAAAAATGCGTCGTCTTTTATACAGATCAGACGAGCTTTTTGTGTAGCGCACATACAATTGTTTTCTGCTGTTTTGTGAAGTTTTGTTTACTTTCCCGTTTGTATGTCTTACTTTCGTACTGTTCTTCAAGTTGTGCGCTCAACCGATCTCGTCTATCTCTTTGCGGCGAATTTCTATTTTGACGTTTTTGATATTTGCTTGTTATGTTTTGATTTGATAATTCTTGTAACTTTGCGTGCGGTGCTTCTTGTTTTTATTAAATTATTTATAATTTAATTTTATAATTATAAAAAATAATTTATTAGAAAATTATTTAAATAAATTTGCGGGGATGAACAAAGAAGGTATGTATTTATTATTTTATTAAGATATATTTCTCTATTTATTACAAATTTATTATCTCCTAATTTCAGATTGCTTCACGTGTTGCAGTTGCGTGCAGGCTGGGTAGCTTTTTGGTAAGTAGTTTCTAATAACTATGTTAAATGTTAATTTATCTATTTTAATTTCAGATTTCTTCGAAATTTATTTAAATTTATGTAGGTTGGAAATTATTACAAATTTCCATCCTCACATTTCCCTCCTTCTTTGAGAAAAAATGAACTTGCCGCGATGCACTACCTGCATGCATAATTCCTGTGCCGTTTCTTTGGGCTCTTGAATACTTTGAAGAATTTGTCTTGGTCTGTACTAACAAGATCATAATCCTTCTGCTGGAGTACATCTAAGTTATTCATCGGCTTCTGCAGTTTTTGGGTGCTGAATGGTTTTGGAATTCCTAGGCTTAGTTCCTGTACTTGTATCAGAGGATTGTCTATCTTATCCTTCGGACGTGTGGAATCATCTTTTCCTTCTTGTGACTCTTGCTTTCGTTGACTATCGTGTTTAATTGAAACTTGTTGCAATGATTGTGTCGGACTTGGGGTTTCTTGAGTCAATCGAACTCGTTTGTTATGATTTTCGCTGACTGTAACCTTTTGTTGACCTTGTTGTGTTTCAATATCTTGAACTTTCTGTGGTTTTACGTGCCCTTTTGTATCCTGAATTTGTACTTGTGTTATATGGTGATTTTTCGTTGCATTGATTCTTTGTAGATTTTCTTCGATAAATCTTGGTTTTATCTGGCTTTGTAGTTTTTGTATTTCAACTGGTACTATTTCACGGTTTGGTGTGACTTGCTGTTGAATAGATACTTTGGGATTTTGTTTAATGGGTCTTGAATTTTGTTCTGGTTTGCATGCTTGGATTTGGAACTGATTTGGACGTTTAACTTTTGTAACTTGATCCTGATTGAACGATTTTCGGTTTTCTTTGATTGACGTGACACGTTGCAGTGTTTGGTGTACTGATACTTGCTTCGTTTGACTTTGAAATATTTCCTGATCTGGTGTAACTCGTGCTGGCTTAAATACTTCGGGATTCTTCTTTGTAAGTTTTGGGTTTACTTGTCGTTGTGTTTCTTGCATCTGTGAATTTCCTCTGATGGGCCTAATATTTTGTGATTCTTGCTTTGGTTCGCATGGTTGAACTTGGAACATTTGTTGACCTTGCGTGTCTAGCTGTTGATAACATACTTCTGTAATTTTTCTGTCAGGCCTTGGATCTTGCGGCGGGGTTACGCGGCATTTACATAACGCTTGTTCTTGTGAATTTTCGTGTAGTGGTACTGGGTGTTGTTCTAAATAACTTCGACGTTGCGTGGTTTGTGTCAACATGCTTAGCTTGGGTAGTGTTGATGTTA